CATCTGAAGTCTATGGCACTTGCAATACTTTGAACATAAAACGAAAGACAATGAAAGAGTCAAGGAGGTTTCATGACAAGTAAAAGAAATCCTGCAACTTCAAAAACAAAAGTCAGAACAGCAATTAGTGCTGTCAGTCAACCTCAGTGAAGGATTCAGCATCATAAATATAAAACGCAAATTACACACACCCTCCTTTTTTTCTTCTGAGCAGCCATCCACACACATAGATATGAAATATGATGGTCAGCTATATATTTATAACACACACTACAATATATCATGCCAACAACAAATATAGGTAGTTCTCACTGATTATTCAAATATTTCCTGCTGCCCCAAGCAGCATGGAAACCACAGCCAGTGCAGAGCGTGATAACTGCCTGAGCACAATTTCTCTCCACTTTGTACCATGAACTCCATATTGATTTTCAAGCAAATAGTAAAAGGTACTGTCTTTGATGGAGATAAATGTCAAATTCCCTGGCTACCTCAAAAAATACTTTTTGTCTTTAAGTACATCTTGGAATCACCTTGAACACAAACAATTTAGATTTCAAACTGAAATGAGAAAGGTACCTTGACTGAAGGACTGCCCTCTCTCTGCAGCCTTTGAGCTCTTGCTGACAGCATCAACTTAATGTGCTCTGCTCTGTGCTCTCCTGATTTCTCATATTAATATTTAAAAAGGATAAAGACCTCAATTCATTAGAACAAGTGTTTTACTAGGGATATTTACCATGTAATTTCATGGTATGGAAGTTAGGCAAAAATGTGTTGGTTGAGCTTTTAGAAATTCTACAAATTTCTGCAACACTATGAGCACATGCAACTTAGCAGAGGTGCCCAAAAACAGTAAAGGTATAGTAAAAAAAATCACATGAACTTGCAAGAAATAGATCAAGACCACAGTGGAGATGCCACTGGCTTACCTCTCAAAACACAGAACAAATGCTTTGCAAGCAGCAGTCACAGATCACATTGCCTTAGCCAAGGTAATCTTTTTTAATTCTTTACCTTGAAGGGCAACTGAACACAGTGGGAGAAGAGGACAGAAAGTGTGCCAACTCGTAACACTGCCAAAAGCACAGGTTTTTCCCTTAAGTGCAATATGCAGAGTTCCCAGTGCGGCAATGCAAGGCCTTCACACTGCAACCAGGGATTCTGGTTGGCAGCAGCTCCCTTACGCTGTCACCAGCTTTGTCTCCAGACTCACAACTCACATCAACATTTATGTGCCACAGAACAAGCCAGATCCCATCACTGTATGTTCAGGTAAATATATAATTAAGCTCAGGAGGGAAGAAGGTCAATGGCAGCAGGAAGAGACATGTCAATACACAGACAAACAGCACTTCCTCAGCTCAAGCACACAATGAAATGATACAAGAATTCAAAAGACACCTATTGCTTTGCACCTATTGAATGGCAAATGTCCCAATTTTTAGTCAAATACAGAGTCAACGTAACTTGCATCACTTTTTACACTGTTATTAGTAAATTACTTGGCCCACTTCTCCAAAATTTTACATTTAAAAAAATCACTTCAAAGTCATCTGAATTTCATGCAGTAAGCAGCCACTTGGGATTTTATACAACAAAGTAAAATATGAGAATCTAACCTGAATGAAAGTAGAAAATAAACATGCCAAGATGAGTTTCGTTACATATGTCTGATGTGCAACACGTGAAATCAAATAGATTTGCATATTGATGCAACTGTCAGCCAGAAAAAAATGACTGCTTGGCTGTTCCTCCTATAAACAAAAAAGGCCAGCCTCAGAGAATTCTGTTTCACTTTCCTTAGTAACACAGTCCTGTTCACTCTGCTGCTTCTTCACCCCAGGGATTCATTTTTATCTGACTACAGAAAGAGAAATCCATCAATCCAGTAAAAGGAATTAGCCAACTTCATTTCACTTTCCTGGGATACTACCACAAATGCTCAAACAGAAAGAAAAGCAATGGATTTGATAAGAAGACAAGGGCTTCCTATCAAAGGATATCCGGGTACTACTTATCCCGCTCCAAGCTGTAAAGCCAGGATTGTCCTGAAAGCAAGTTACTGCATGCATTACTTTAAATTTTAGGAAAGGAATGGCTGATTTTGTGTCTTTGGAGGCAGGTATGTATCTTTTAGACTTTCAAAACAGTATGCTGAGATCAAGAATGTTTTATTTCATCTTTATGATCAGCAGAGGAAATAATTTTAAAAGCTGAAATGTATCTCAGGAAATGCATAAAAAACCAAACTCCACTGCTTGCCACATGCAGCTGGTGACAAATATTAAGCACAATAATTCTGAATACAAAGCATCATTCTAAACAGCTCAATCTGATCTTAAATTTTCCATCTTCAGCTACAGTTAAGGACACATCCCAGAAACATTTTGCCAAATGAGAAAGCCAAGCTTTAGAGTTGATTACTAGGGATTCTCAAACATTTTGACCAAAATCCACTTGTGTGCAAGCATTGTCAGCTCCAGCTCTTCCATCATATGCAAACACGTTTGCATTCTACAGTGTGCTATGAGAGCTTAACCCTTCAGCAGTCAAACTGGGCATATACCAACATAAACAAGCCTCTTGTTTTGCTCATTTTTCTTCACACTGAGTTTGTAGGCAGGGCAACACAGTGATGCATATCACAGTCTCACCCTAGGTACTCGCATCAGGGGCTAGAAAAAAAACTCTGTATCTATTCCTGTATCATTTTTAGATTAAGCTATTAACAGAGTCAATCTGCCTCAAAAGCAGCAGTCAGGTTTGGTTCTTAACCACAGGATCATTGAATTGTTTAGGCTGGAAAAGGCCACCAAGATCACTGAGTCCAACCATTAACACAACACTGCCAAGCCCACCATTAAAACATGTCCTTAAGTGCTACATCGACACCTTTTCAATACCTCCAGAGATGGGCCTCAGCCAGCGTTGGCCCATCCATTTGCTCCACCCGTGTCCATTCCCCAAGAGTACATCAGAGCAGTAATGCTCTTTATTCTTCAGGGATATCACCTACGCCAGAGATTCCTCACTTTCTCATGGGGACAGAAAAGGTAACAAGGCTACATTACCTCAGAAAACAACTCCTTTTGAAATAGTAGATAGCACTTGTAGTGTTTCCTAAATTCTTAAAGTACAGTCTCTTCCTGCTGTGAAATCATTCAACTGTTTCTCTAGGTCAAGAGACAGAAGTCTGGACTGGAGGTGCTGAATGTGGATAGTGCCGGGTAATATGGAAATTATTCAATTCTCAGTCGGAAAAAAATATGTCAAATTCAAACAGGTGAAGGAATAGAACTATAACATTAGAAATACTCTCTGCATATGAATTCTTATCCACATTCTAGTTACACATACTTTTTTCAAAACACGTTTTAAAGACCTTGCAGAAGATGTTACGAAACAGCAGGATAAAGGTGTATATAATTGTTATAACTCTCACTACTTATCCAGAGCTAGCTACTTATAATGGAGAATGCAATGCACCCAGTAATTTCAATTTATTATTCAACTACCATTAAAATCATTGAAGTATTTCTTACAGATCTGCAGGCAGTTCTACTAGAACGGTATTTCTAACAAATCTATATTTCATAACATGTTCACAAATCACCACTGAATGAAATAGCTTCAGGGAAGAATTTTGCTTTGTTTTTAACTTTCATTCTGTTCCGCTGACTGGCGGGACATCTAGAGAGCCTGTTGCCTGAGTTCAATCTTATTGAAAGCCAAGGCATATGGGATAACTATCATCAGATACTCACTGTGATTTTACTGAAGGGTTTTGGTCATAAGACACAAACTAAAATCTGTTCTCTTTTCTCATATTATGTAGACCCCAAAAAAAGCTTCTATGTGTATAATGTCTGAAACATATGGAGACGTGTAACTGAATCATTAACCACACAACGTAAATCCATTTTCTTGAAAAAAGCTGCCCGTGAAAGACAATACCTGCAGTGGCATGGCAGAAGTGTAAATACTTCTACAATTAGAACATGTTTTTATTCACATCAGCTGTCATTATACTTATCAATATCAAAGCTACTGATATGAGGGACCCCATCATTCTGATTTATTAGAAATATTCAGTGAAAAAAAGATAATTTTCTGTACCTAATCAAGTTCATTACTCTGGAAAATGTTAGCATATATTTCCTTTTTTTCTGTCCCGTGAGTGTCATGATAGTCTCTCTGCTGGAACAGTAAAGTTATCTCATCTACCACTGAATAGCTAAAGTTTTTAAAGATATCACATGTACCAAACCCCTCTTTCAGAGCTGCTTCATTATTATTGGAAATGTGATTATCAAAACTTGATTAAATATGTGAAATCACACAAGACAATCTGCTTCACAAAACATAACTCTCAATGGAAGCACGAGATCAAGAAGTATATTTTAAGTGTGTTTACTGAATTATTTTATGCAATATAGAAGCACTGAGGGAATTTAGGGATAAAAAACCTGCAACAAATAACAAACATTAAAGTGGATGAAAAAAATATTTTACATGTACACAGTAGATTATTTTGAGGTGGAATGGTTGCAACGATTGTAAACAAACTGTTGTAAAGAAAGTAAACTTAGAGGAGTCCAAAATTCAATTAATTCCCTTCACATTATTTTGTTCAAGCTTTTTAATAACGGTAAATAAAAGGCAAACAACTTATCACACATATTCAGCATTGCTCTCAGAGCATTAGAAAAATTTACTTGAAGCATATTCTGCTTTTACCCCTAAAGATTTATTTGGTATGGATATTGAAAAAGTAATACAACATTAACGTACAAACGAAACATCCGATTAACAGGGATCTCATCTTGTTCTGATGTTACCTGTGCAAAATGGTCTCAGCCACTTTCACTCGAGCACATGGCAGCGAGTAGCACTTTGATTCATAGGGATCTATGTACATGTTCAGCAACATCAGTTGATACTTTCTGCTTATCTTCATTTACATACAAAATTAAATTAAGAAAAAAACCACCACTTACTTGCTTTTTCCTTTGTACACTGTAGCATAGGACCCTTCCCCTAGTTTTTCCAGTTTTTCATATGAGTCTGCTTTTCCAAACTTAGGGCTCGTAGGCTAAACAGAACAAAAGAGATGACCTTTCAGCATGTATTGAACCCGTAACATTAACTGCTTTGATTCAGCCTTTAGAGATCAAACATCATTATTAAAACTCATAGACCTGCATGTTTTCAGCAGCCAATAACAACAAAAAAATTAATAGGAGAGCTAATGAAACATTATAATAGATTACTCAAAGAAAAGATCATTCAACACCCCAGATGGTGGTTGCTGATATTAACCATACACTTATATTATTGCAACTATCAAAAGGATTTTGTTCTTAAGAGACATTTCTGTTTTATTTTTCACATATATAACTTCATAGAGGGAAAAAGATCACTAACTAAAGCACCTTATTGATGTTTAGAGATCTAAACAGCATCCTTAGTCTGTCTTGAAAAAATCAGGCTAAAAGAGCTGTTTAAGTTTTATATTTTTTTAAATTTTATTTTAGACTAAAGCCCACCCAAAAACATTGCTCTAACTAGTCAATGTCCTATTACATCAACAGGTAAGCATCTTCAATGATAGTATTTTAACTCTGATTACAGTCTTCAGCTTGTGGATATAATCACACCATATTTTAATGTATATGCAGGAGCATCGAATAAAGTCCTGTATCCTTAATATCTGCAGCCTAAGTGAGGGGGCCTAAAACTGAAAGAGGCTAAACAATGATTCTTGCTCAAAGGGCAGATAGCTCATATGGCCTTTGCAACAGACTGATACTTACCCACTTTTACACAGTTCTAACAGAGAACAACTCAACGCTGTACAAATAGGAATTTACCTGACACGAGAACTTTCCATTGAAATTCTTGGAAAAATTTTGATTTTTGTTAACTGCGTCCCATTTTCCCAAATTTCCCCATTTTCCAGTTGTCTGGAAGGAAAGGGCTTTTTATTTTTCCCCCAAGACTAGATGGACACTGCAAAAAATTTACCTGCAACTGCCCTCAGCATTACCCACATATATTTTAGACTGCAGTGCTCATATGTTCTACACCTAAACCAACCAAAAGATCACAAAGCAGAAACTTTGGAGGATCAGCAGAAACTTTGGAGGATCAGCACTAATACTCAAATCCCATAGAGAGACTGATTTGATGGTATTCTGGTTAAACGCTACAAAGAAAAGCAGACAAGCAAACCCAGCGTGTTTAGGGTTGAATTCAGCTGAGAGGCTCTAAGCCATGTGTGCAGCTGTATACATGATACACTCACATTTAGGATCCTAGGCCTGATTTACAGAAGGTATTCATGTTTCAGGATTTTTTAAAGGAAACGAACATTACAGTACAGGACACATCTGTGTGTAAATTCCTGTTAAACCATGGTTGAAAGTTTTAAATCAACTGATCCTAAAAATTGCTTCTATTTAAACAGACAAGGGCATCCCAGGTAAGCTGACTTAGTACCTCACATCCAATGAACCACTAGCCAGAAAATGCAAGCATTCTCTTTACTCAACTATCCTTCATTTGTTCTATGCAAAAATTCTGGCACTTTGCCATATATACACTTTTTTTGAGATGAACATTTCAGCTTTCTATTGAATGGTATAAGGACATACTCATGTACGTTTGCAAATTTGAGCCTTTACACCTCTCTCCATTACAAAGAACGACCTATTATTTTGCTATCCAATTCCTAAGTATTAATAGACTTGTGAAAATTTGTCAGAGAAAACTCTCACATCTTTTTCCTGCTACGTTATTTGGAACACTTCATTATAGATAAGGCAGTAATATTCTTGGTTTCCAATCTGCGCTTAAAAAGGCATTTTGCCTAGTTAAAAACAATTTTTTTAATTATAGTTTTATTACAGATGTTACTAATAGAGGTGACTAAAATATTTATTCAAGTTGTCTTCTCATTTAAGTGCCCAATAATGGACTGATGCAACATTAAAAAAAACTTCAGAAAAAGAGCAGTTAGATGTTTAAATGTCTTGTATATAATGAAGAAGGACAGCAAAGTATTTCCCAAATTGCAGGCTGCAATGAACACACAGTGAGTAGCTTTGTTTGCAGTGGAAATGCTGCCCTAGTTAACAGTGAATAGTTCACTGTTGGCTTCCTCATAGCAAAACAGAAAAAGGACAGGGTTTATACATGTGTTTCACATCCATTCTTATTTTCACACTGAGATTTACTTTTATTCTCTACTGCTGGAAACCATAATATAAAGGTCACAACAACTTGTGAGCCTTAAGATCTTGATAGGAAACAGGATGCCTTTAATCCATTACCACACAGCATATCATCAACAGTAATTATTCCTACAACCTCAAGCTCCTTTCTCCATACTCCAGCTGCCAGAAGCACAGATTTAAGGTCATACCTTTTCACTCATTCTCCTCCTGGATGTTGCTGCATCCTCACCAAAACCAGCAAAACTCTAAATGCTGGTGTTGACTGGACAAGGAGAAGAGCTCGCTCCTGATCCTACAAGAGAGGTCTTGTGCTCAGGGGCAACCTCACGCAGTGCCCCAGGGTTCAGCTCTGAGCAGCAAGGCTGACCTGACACCCTTCCAAAACAGCCTCCATCACTTGTCCAGTGCCTGCTCACTTTGGGTAAGAGCAGACCAGAAACAACCCAAAACCCAAACGGTAAGCCACCGCCTGTCTATGTGCAGTAAAACCACCTGGCTGATATCCTCTTCTTTCCAGGTTACAGCACCTCTGTAGTGAAGTTCAGCTCTACTCCAACTGGACCGCTAGACTGGATTGCCCATGTTCTTACACTATTAGATCTCCTTTTGTGAAAATAGACATTATTTTTCCTTGCATTTGTAATCTTAAAAGGCTTACAATTTTTGAAAGTATCTCGTGTAGAAAAGCATTTCAGAGGATTTTATTAAAAAAATTTAAATAAATTCTCAGGCAAAAAAAGACTAATTTGCATGATACTTCTTAATGAAACACCAAAATACTGAGAAAATGCAATTACTTCAGAAAGTTAAGGAACAGCTTTACCATTTCCCCAACATTTTCTCAGTTTTTTTAAAATGAAGTCTCATACATCAATTCAAACTTATAATTACAGATTGCTTATAATGGTAAAAAGTTCAGACACTTCTTACCTTTCCTTTTATTTCTGTATTACAAAGGAGGTGAAGACTGACTAAGATAATGCAAAAATACAAAACTTTCCAAAACTTAGGTTTGAAGCTTAAAGGGATCTAAATAAAGGGTTAAGGAAGGAACCAAAATAATTTGAAGTTCCACATGACTGCTGAAAATTATAACCACTTCAGCCTACTTTTCTTTATTATTACAGTCCCCCGTTCATATGTGTAACTTTTCAGCTTCATGGACATGAATTTCGTTATTCAGATTTCTCCACGTTAATTTATCCTTTTCAATCACTTCTGTTAAAAAACATACCTTGTTACAGTGAGGTTGGGATGGTTTTTTAGCAAATGTTAATATTAAAATCAAATACGGAAAATTCACTTTTAAGTACAATTTCTTCTTCAAAACTATTTTATTCCTTCTGGTAAAATGTATGGGAATGCATGCACACAGAGATTTCTGTTTGTTGAAACCCAAGAGTCCCATACTGTGCCTGGGATGTGGTTGACTGAAATACACGTGGTGAGTGAGACATATCCAGAGCACGTCAGTGCTTGCATCAGACACTGACAGATCGCACAAGCAGCAGACTCACAAGGACCTTCCCTATATTTTACATAGGTGCAATCCTCCAATTTGACCCAGACAATATTTCTCAATGAAAAAGAGTACTAATTTTATTTTGGAAAAAGCTTTTCAAAGCTACTTTTTGAAGATCTAACCTTATAATACTTCTATCACTGTTAATTTTCTGTTCCTCTTACTCCTTTTTACTGCTTTTTAACCCTCTGAAACACTAAGGGAGAATCATAGAATCGTTTAGGTTCGAAAAGACCTTAAAAATCATCAAGTCCAACTTTAATCCTAAAACTGCCAAGCCCACTACAAACCATATCCCCGAGCACCGTATCTACACGCCTTTTAAACACCCCCATGATGGTGACTCAATCACTTCCCTGGGCAGCCTGTTCCAACACTTGACAACCCTTTCCATGAAGAAATTTTTCCTAATATCCAATCTAAACCTCCCCTAACACAACGAGGTAATTTTCTCTCATCCTATCTCTTGCCACTTGCGAGAAAAGATCAACTCCCACCTTGCTACAATCACCTTTCACGTAGTTGTAAAGGTCACCCCTCAGCCTCCTTTTCTCCAGACTAGACAACCCAAACTCCCTCAGCCACTCCTTATATAACCCTCTAGACCCTTCCCCAGCTCTGCTGCCCTTCTCTGGTCACGCTCCAGCACCTCAATGTCTCTCTTGGAGTAAGGGGTCCAAAACTGATCCCAGAATTCAAGATGTAGCCTCACCAGTGCTGAGTACAGGACAATCATTGTCCTGGTCCTACTGACCACACCTGGCCACACTGCTGGCTCATGTTCATACATCTGTCAATCAAAATTTGTCATGACATAGCATGACTGTGATGAAAGCACAATCTTTGTCATGTCTGAAAATTGGTTATTTACTGGATCTGAAAATTTTTTGCTTATGTTTATTAAAGCCTTCAAATAATTTCTTTAAAATTCTTATCACAATTTGTTGGATATAAGCCTAGGGGAGACCTCTTTCCTGCGGCCCCATAGACTTCTGTGTCTCACTCATCAGTGAGACTACCTAGGCATAAAGAAACCTGTTGCTCCATATTAGCGTTTGTATTTGTTAAAAAAAAAAAGTAGTTACAAAGCTAAGAAAAAAACCCCAGACAGGTGCATATGTGAACAATATTGAGCTATATAATAGACAAAGTTAAATAGGCAGTAAACAACCAGTCAGCAAGTAATTGATATCACTGGAAAACTCACTGCAAAGTGAACTTTCATGCTATGGAGAAATCTTCCAAAGAACTCAAGTGGGAAAGCTAGATGAATTACCAAGACAGAAGGGAGTAAAGATCCTCATGCCTCTAAAGAGCATAGTCTCAAGTCATTGT